TGAGACAACATTAATCAAGTTTACATATGATTTTATGTAACTTTTATAGAAATGTTTTTATTTTATTTATTTATTTATTTTTTTTATTAGTTCTTTTATTAGTAGTCGGCTAAGGCACATTCCACAATCGTGTTCGATGAACACAAATGACTATTACGGTGGCGTAAGTAAATCAATTAGTGTAATCTTTATATATAGATCCAAGATCCAAGTCTATATCTGTAGATCCAATCCTTATAGACTACAATTCTGGCCGCTGAATTCGATGGGGGTGTTGTGTTGGGCGCTGACACGCGCACTAGCTGCCGTACCTACGTCTCGAATCGAACGGCAGATAAGCTAACTCGGATCACCGATCACATCTATTGCTGTCGCAGTGGCTCGGCCGCCCAGACTCAGACACTGGCCGAGTCGGTCGGTAGTTCGTTGTGCGGCTTTCAGAACTTCAGCAATGCGTCGTGTTTGGTGCGCGATGCGGCCGTACAATTCCGGAACAAAATCTATTCAACACGCAAGTTGCTGCTGGCCAGCATCATAGTCGCCGGCTGGGATCGGGCGCTGGGCGGTCAGGTGTATACGGTGCCAATATCGGGACTACTCGTCCCCGAACGGTACGCCATGGCCGGCTCCGGCTCCAGCTACATCCAGGGCTTTATGGCGGCGCACTTTAAGCCGGGCCTGAATCAAGAGGATGTGGTCGATGTTGTCAAAAGAGCCATCCGGCTGGCCATAAGGCAGGACTGCAGCTCGGGCGGTGTGATACGCATTGGCGTCATCACCGCAGACGGCATGAGTACGTCCATCTATCCCAAGGAGGATCCCGACACTCTCGACAAATGCACAGACTCAGATTTGAAAATATTTGGAAATGATTCATTTGAGACATGATTGAATGGATGCTCTTGTTTTTCTATCTTCTTTAGAAAGCAAGTAGTTTCCTTATTGTCTAGCTAGTTTCTGGATGCATATGGTTCGGACTACGATTAGGTATCCTTCTGGCTATGTAAAATTGTATACTTGTTCATAAAGTAAATGTAATGATTACCTTATGTTGGGGCTTAACTTTTCTGCTCAGCTGCTGCAGTTATTAGGGGCTATACGAAATGATTTGAAATTAAGATCATAACATTAAAGCTCTCACAGCTCAAACTGCTTAAATTAAGTTCTTCAAGAATTTCTTTAGTTTTTCCTATTCTATCTCAAACGAGCCATAAACTAGCACCGCTCTGTACAGTTGGCTCCAATCATAGCTAACTGCATTCATCTGCATTCCGTTGCTCGCTAAATAAGTTATTAGCTAAGTTAATTTGGTTTAAAAGAAAAGCAAACGAGGCAGGCCGAAGAAATTGCTTTGAGGCATTTCAAAGGCGATTCAATTGTGTTGCTAGTTGCAGCAATACTTTGTTCCGCCTGCTGCTGCTGCTGCTGCTGCTACTTGCTGTTGCCTGTTCGTCTGTCCGTTTGTCCGTTTGTCCGTTTGTCTATTGTCGGCCCGTAGACGTAGACGTAGACCCATTAACTGCGGCCATATGGCCTTTTGGCCCAATCCAGAGCAATGCAAATTGAAGTTCTCGTGTTGGCAGGCGGCATTTGCCACAATGCGGCATTAGGAGTATTAACTAGGGCTTAGTGGGCTGCCCCATTGTCGTGGCACAACAATGCTCAGCGAGCTGAAGAGCTGAGTACTTATTACGCAATAAGAATTCAGACACTGAGAGAAATCAAGGCGGGCGTGGATAAAAAAGTTTTAAAGTGGAGGTAAAAAATAAAAAGAAATGGGAACAATAAAATAAATAGTTAAAAAATAATAGAATATTATTTTTTAAATACTTCCTTTTAAAAATATTTTTTATTGTATGTTTAATTTTTTTTATATTTGATTATATTTTATTATTTTATGCATTAAATTTTTATTTCTTATTTAGTTTATTTATTTCTACTTTTTATATTTTTAATATTATTTTTCTTTCAAGTATTTTTTAGTGTAAAATTTTATTTATTATATTTTTCAAATAATTTCCCATTACAATTCCAAAATGCTCACACTTATTTCCCTCAGTGCACAATAGGGCACTCTAAGCCACTTGTTCTGCCTAGACAATGGCTCAAGCTGGTTCACTTTAAGTAAATTGAGTGCTCCTCAATGTGTGTATATGCGTCTGTGTGTGTGCGAGTGCGAGGCAGACAGCGACAGCTGTTGGGATTCCCTCGCAGCATGCAACAATCCTTTACAACAGCGATGATGTAATTTCTTTAGCAGCGAACAAAGAGAACAGCAGACGTACATAAACCGTTGATCAACTGCAGCCAAATTCACACACACGCTCATACACACATGCACTTACACGCATACGCATGCACGCACAAAAAAGAACTGGTTCTACGCAGCGCTTTGATGCTGCAGACTGGGTTGCTTACAACCAGCACCCGCACAGCGCGCCTAACCCCCCTCGCTTGTCTAAACAACCGAATCCGCATTCAATTGCTTTTGCTGTCGCTGCCCCTGTCGCTGCCCCTGTCGCTGCCATTGCGCTGCTGCGCTGCTGCGCTGCTGCGGCTGCTGTTGCTGCCTCTGCTCGCAACGCATATTGTGTAATCTAGCGCTTTGCGTATTTACCCACGAGGATGAAAGATGCGCGCTGAACCGAAAGCAGACAAACACAGACGACGTCAGCAGTGGCTGCGACGCAGCAGACAGTCAACGTCGCCGTCGCTGTACAAAAATGTGCCAAGCTGCTGAAGTCGCTTTGTTGCGCTGCTGCTGCATTGGGAGAAATGTGACAGTTGATGAGCGTCAGAGCGAATGAGTAAGAGACGTCTGAGTGCATGTGTGTGTGCGTTTGTGTATGAAATGTTTTTCAAGTGTCAATGAACTTTTCCAACACGGCAGTATCACACACCATAATACAAATCATACAACACTCACACACACAAACACAGACAGCCCAACTGATTCTCATGCTCGTGAGTGCGCGAGTGAAATAACAAAAACATATTGAAAAGAAAGTGCTGCTCTTTAGCGACGCTCTCTTTGTTCTGAAGCAATTCAATGCGCTCTTAATCGTGCGCATGCACTTGCGCTCTCTTACTGCCGCGCTCTTTGCCTGCCAGCCTGCCCACCTAATGCAGCGGCGCTCAGTGCAACAGACTGTTTTTGTTGTTTGTGTTTTTATTTCTTTTTCTGCCGTCTTTCTTCTTCTTTTCATTTTGATTATTTTCAAATGTGTGTCGTCACCAGCGGGCTGACTGCGACAGTGCACGAGGAGTGGTGTGGTGTGGTGTGGTGGGAGGCAGGCGAGTGTAGTTGACTGCGGCGATGACAACGACGTCGATGAGTTTTTTTGTGCGTGTGTGTGTGTGTGTGTGCTGGTATGTTTTGTTTGAGCATCGCTTAAAGCGCTTTAAAGCTGTAATGTTCTCTGTGCATTACGAAGCGCTGTGTGAACGGCAGAAATAAAGAAGTGAAGACACACTCACACAAACACACAAACAAGCAGACACATGACGACACACACTGACAAACACATGCGTTTGACAGTAAATCTTTATCTTTATCGGCTTTGCTTGAGCTATAAATGTCTGTGCGTGCTTTTGAATGTGGATAAGCAGAATATCTGTATACACTTGCATTAAGTACAGCATACATACATATATACACATGTTGAATATATGTATGACAACTTTACCGTTAGCCAACAACATCAATCTGCAAAAAGGCTTTTATGCTTTATAGGGTCTCTTTAAGCTGGTATTAGCGAAAATTAATTAAAGAGCGCTGCAAATGCTCTTAACTGCCCCACTTAATTGTTACATATGTATGTATGTACATGTGCGTATGTGTGAATTTACACATGTGCGTCTATCGGGACAATGGAAATTTATGTTGGCAAATATTGATACAATTAAAAATTAAATACCTAAAAGTTGACTTCTACTCACACACCTTGTTTTCCTTATATACATACATATCTCTATATGGAACAGAAATATAACAGCGCACAATGGAAAAGCAAATAAAACGTGACATACTTTTTGGGTAAATATGACAAATATTTGCCAAAAAAAAGTTGTTTGTAAAACACGGGAAATACATACATATATAAATATGTATGTGTATATTTAATATGAATGTATTTACCTGCATACATAAGTAAGTTATCTGTTATCTTTATATGTGGTATAGGAAATGTAACTAATGTAAATAGGTTAATTCCCAAAAAAAAAAAAAAATTCTAAAAATTATATTTATTCATTGTAGTATACACACATATTTATATCAATTCTAAATCTTTCATGTCAATGTGTAAACATATGCATAAGTGAATAAATTTTTCCTGAAAAAATTGCACAATGAAATTTTTGCATATTTTTAAACAACACAAAATATTTCAAAAGAAAAAAACAAACTATTTATATAATTCATATTTTTAACAGATTTAAAAAATTAAATAATTTTTTAACAAATGTTTTAATTTATAATTTTTTTTTATATTCTAATTTTTTAAATATTAAATATTGAAATTTGTTGCCTAATAAAAAATCGGCCTATATTTCCTTTTTGCTAAATTTGATAATGTATATATACATAAATATATTTATGCATTTGGCATATATTATAAACTTTATGTTTTTAGTCAAGCAACTTCTCTTAATATGCATTTTATATTGCCAAATAAAATATATATTTATAAATTTTTTTTCGCTCATTGAAACCATAAGGAAAAATAAATGAAAACAAAAAAACGTCTCATAAAAATCCATTGATAATTGCATTTGCTCGTTTTTCACAATGAAATTAACGCATAAATTCATAAAAATGAACGAGCGAGGGAGAGAGGCAGAGTAAAATCAAGCATACGCACCATATGCACTGGCAGCACAAACAAGTAACAGTTAATTAACTGCTGCTGTTGCCATAAAACAAATAAAACGAAAAAAGCGCGCCGCAAGTGCAAACCGCAATTTGCCAACAAGTTTTCCACGAGCTGCAGCGAACGATAATTTAAACGCTATGCAAAAAAGCACAATAAAATAAAATTCTGAATGGGCCAAAAAAATAAAACAGAGAAAACACAAACACACACACACAGACACGAAAAACAAGAAAAACGCGAAAATATTTTCGCATATGCAATTTATTTTGCATGCCAGCGGGATTTCTTGTCACGCCCTCTCGCTCGCACACGCTGTGCTGCAGCTCATCGCTCCGGGCGCTGCAATAACCAGAAGTCAAAATTAATATGTTCTTCTTTATTGCAAATGCAGGCACAAAAAAAGCACACACACACACACAAAACAAGAAACAAACGAAAATTAATATGCAGCGACATGTGCGAAAAAAAACACAGAGTGAGTAAAAGAGATAAAAAATATGTACAAAAAAATAAAAACGAAGTAGAACTGCATATGATTTGCAGTTTTTGACTGCGATCAAATAAAATAATAATAATAATAACAGCAATAACAACATCAACAACAACAACAACAACGGCTACATAATAGCCGCAGCAGCAGCTTAGACATAGAGCACTGCGAGAGCAACAGAGAGAGAAAAGAAGTCGCTGCCGCTGCCTCTGCTCTAGCTGTTGTTATTGCTGCCTTTGCTGCCTATTGCACAAGTTGTCACGAAGCAATTCGCTCGGGTTGCGCGGCACGAGCGCAACATTCGCATTCGCCAAAGCAGCTTCGTAAGTGGGTCAGCGAGCTGTGGGGTCAATGCACCGCCTGCCAACCAAACAGCTTGCCTGAACTCAACTGCTTGTGCGAGCGAGAGCGAGAGCTCATAATAATAATAAAACAGCGCCAACTCACAACTTTACACGAACACACACATGCACAACAACTGAGCAGACAGACAACTTTTGTAGCTGCTCTTTGCTTAAGAGCGCGCTCTTAGCTTATGCTTATGCTCTTGAGTCAGTGTGTGTGTGTGTGTGTTTTTTTTTTGTTGCTTACGCTCTCTTTATGGTGCTGCGTTCTTTGCGCCCAAGCACACGTTGTAAAACAACAAAACGAAGGAAAGAAAGAAAAAAGTTTTT